ACGTTATTTTGGTTTATCATAGATAAACAATTTTGTTCTGGTAATCCATGCCTTCACCTACAATCAATAAAATGTGGTTCTACAGAAAAATATGACAAAAAATCCTAGGCTCAAACGTTAGTAGGGTCCCCTAGGCCCCTCTGAGAAAAACTCCATATATTGCAATGTTATTTGAAGCCCAAGAGCCGGGTCACAGGCTGTAAAGTGTACGCGCATGGTGACACCCTACGTACAGGTCTCAGAGCCTGGTTGACCACAAGCTCTGAAACCCAAATGTAGGGTGTCATGGCGATTAACGTGTTAAGATATGCCAAAATATCCTCAAAACCCCAGATCAAGACTAAATCCCAATTATCCTGGACCAATATTATACTGGGAATAGTATATTAAAAAAATACAAGTTGCAGAAGGCCACATATGCGACGAAGGAGCGAGTGGACGAACGAATGAGTGTGAGAATAGCCTTCTGCAACGTGAGTTTTATACTATTTCCTCGATTTTGGATTTTATTTTTCGTTTTTTTAAATTTTTTTGTGGTCGCTGTTAGTTGGGAATTTTTTGTTCTGTAAAATATTCCAGTTGGTGACACTTACTTTACTTACCAACCAACTGAAGGTGGATTTGATTATTTTAAAAGGTTTGACAATTTTGAAGGTACCAATAGATATATGTACTTTGAAAACTAAATGTTACTAAAAAAAGACAGATACTCCTGGCAAGGTTTAACCAAAGATGTTGAGATATTCATCAGAGTCTGTGAAATCTGCCAAAAAGTCAAAATCTGTAGGAAAAATATTAGTTCTCCTCTCGTTATTACTGAAACTCCGAAAATCCCATTTGAAAGGATAAACATTGACCTTTTTAAATTCTCAGTTCGTAACTATGCCCTAACAGTTAGGGATGAACTTACCAAATTCGCTCAAGTTTACCCAATCTCAGACAAAAAGGCGTCCATAATTGTTAACACCCTATTCTTCCAACATTACGGTACACCTTTAAGAATTCACTGTGATTGTGGAGGTGAATTCAACAACGCCTTACTCAAAAACCTCTGTCAACTCTGCATCATGAAATTGACATTTCCAAGCGTAAGCCACCCACAATCCAACGGATCGCTGGAAAGATTCCATGCAACTTTAATGGAGATGATCCGCGTTCATAAAGCGGAACATCCAGATGAACACCCATTCAACATTGTCCCGTATGCATTATCTGTTTTAATAATACCAAAAATAAGACACACGGATTCACACCTTTCGAATTAATCTTTGGCCATACGTCGAATAGACCCTCTGAGACTCTTTATAATCAAAAACAGCTTATCTCCAAATACATACGAGATCTCAACAACATTAATATAGAATGGCTCAAGCCAGAGCCGATATCCAGAAAAAAAGAGTCGAAAGTAAGGTTCGACAAGACGGTCTCACAAAATCTTCCAGAATATAAAGCAGGTGACAAGGTGTATGTCGAAGAAACTCAAAAAAAAAAGACAAAGCACAAAATCTTTTTAATGGACCTTTCGAAATAATTGTAGTTTATAGAAACTCAACGAAAGTGAAAAACCTCAAAACAAATCAATTTTCGAAATTTACCTTTGATAGACTAAAGCCGTTCTATGACTAGTCTCTTCTTTTTCAGACTCGTCGGGCTGATTCCAGTCGTCACCCCTCAATTTCGTCTAACTCCGAATAACAACGCCGTTGGAATATTCTATCACGAAGAAGGTAGTCTTAGAGTCTCAAATGATAAATGGACCTTTATAGTTTACAAAGAAATAGAATCATTCATAGAAACTATAAATAATTGATGACCCTTCTCCTCGAATGCTTCAAAGTTGAAGTTCAAAGTCATTTCAGCCTTTTAACTCAAGTTAAAGTTTATTCAGTCGACCAGAAACCCAATGAAATCACTGGCGACACAAACTATAGAAACAAACTTGGACTTGGAAAATTCCCTTAATGACATTCTAGAAGCAATAACGTTTGCACGTTTAAAGATCTTACATATCTCAATTATAACTAGAGACTTGGTCGCCTCTTTACAGGAAATATCGCGCTATTTATCCAAAAATAACCTTCCTTTACCTACATATCTTCCATATGTAGCACGATACCTGGATATAATTGATTTAGAAGCTTATCAATCAGAAGGTAAAATTGTTTTTATTTTTAGAATACCGCTGATCGAACCTGAGATATACACTCTTTTTCACATCTACCCTATTCCGATTTTGGATAATCGAACAGGTTTTCATCATATATTACCAATAACCCAAAAATATATCGCAAGAGATGACGATTCTTTATTGAACATATTACGCCAACGCCTGAATCACTGCAAACACGAGGATATTTTCTGACCTTCTACAATACGCTATAGACAGCGATGCCATTTGCGAAGCCCGACTCCTGAAGTTAACAGGGACACTTCCCAAGACTTGCCAAACCTCAATCTTACTCGCTAGTGACTGCAATGTGCAAGAACTAGACACAAACTACTGGCTCATAACATTATCATCGTCCCTTCCAATCATTATCACATGTGATGGCAAAAACAATGTGACAAAAACCATCAACAGCAACACAGTGCTCAAGCTTCAACCAAGATGCAATGCCTTTGTAGGAAACTCCAGAATTCATCATGCTAAGCTTCTAGTGAAAAAATACAGAAACGTCACCTATAAAAGCCATCCAGTGGAAATTCCCTATGACTGCTGCAAACACTTGCAGGTAAATCGTCATGTGCCAGAGTTGAAACTTCTTAAACTATCTAAAATCAACATCGATGATCTAAACGTGGCACAACATAAACTAAACCATTTTTCCGATGAACTGTATAAACTGATCCAAGAACCATTTTAATCAAGACACAGTCAATGGTTCACCTCATTCATCATTGTACTAATAGCAGCCCTTGTAATCATTTACATTTGTTGTAAGTGTTGACGAAAGACGCCTCCCAAACCTAGCCCTATCGACGGAGACGAACCACCACCGCCGAAGCCTCATTCACGTCTTCAAATCGGCAACAACCTTAGAAAGCTTTTACCGAAACGAAGAAACAGCGTTCATCCAAATCTACCCTCAGATCCAATCTTCACAACAGAGCTGGTTTTTAAAAAAAATTGCTGCCAAGCACCAACTTTTTACTCAATGTAGATTTCACGACTACAATGACCTCCAGGCGCGTCTCATCACCACGGTCGTACAAAGTATCGTAAAGTCTAGACGCTTCTTCAGCAAGTTATCTTGTCTGAACATGTCACACCAAGAACTGCTCCATCGTCGCAACGCTCCCATAGAAACAGCAAGATCAACAACATATTTTAAAATATAAAAGACCCTGTTTCTTTAGTTAGGTCGTCATTATTAAGTTAGTTAAGTTAATGTTTAGTCAAATTTAAAATAAATTTAAAATAAAACACAAAAATATCCTGAGTATCAAAAATTTTATCCAATAACATTTTGTTAACAATATAACAAAGCTAAATATATACTAAGTGGGGTTTATTAGTATCTACATATAATATCTAGGTATAACAAAGCTATATAAATAGATAAAATGATATAAGGATTTTTGATTGTATATTTATTTTTTGATTATGAAATAAAAGACGCTTTTACATACTTTTTCCATACATAATGACCTACAATCATAGATTTATTCAATTTTTCTTGGCCACACGAGACTGCAAAACTACCGAAGCTGCATTGAAATTGTAAGGAATAAATTTATAGAGAATCTAATTGGTTTTAATTTGAGCCTAATTACAGCGGAATCGGATTGAAATTAACAAAGTTTTAAGGCAAAATCTATTTATTTTTTTGCAATTTTGCAACTGGACAGAGAAAAGTTCAGAACTTTCAGTAAATGTAAAGTAATGATTTGTAGAAGATTCAATTGGCTTCAATTAGAGCCGAATTACTCAAAGCTCGGATTGAAATTGACAAAGTTATGAGGCAAAATGTGCTTTAATGTCGTTTTCAATATTTTAATTCACTAGATGATTATTCCAAGCTAACTCTTTAATTTCTTAAGAATTTAAGGCACTTGGTGAAAAATGTAGCTTTCAAGTGCTGCAGGGTGTAAAAACTTTCTGTAATTTTACAGAAAAGCTCTGGTCTGAGATTTGTAACAATTAACGCCACTATATTTATCCTCGTCTATTGATTTCTTTAAAAAAGGAAATAAGGAACAAATACAATAATTATTTCAATCCCTATCAGTTTCAGGCAGAATGACATTAGTAACAAAAGTAAAGCGACCACCGTATGTAAAAACGTCCCAAAAGTTATTTCTAGCGTCTTGGATTCCTAGCATTTTCCGCCAACAACCTCGGCAAATTCGATTCGCTACCAGTTTTCTCTTCGGACACTGAAAACACGCGAAGCTTTTTCATCATCTTTTCCGTAAACAACAGTTCTTCCTTCTCCTCCTAAAAAAAAAGAACAAATACTAAATGATTTAAAAATAATATAATTTGTTTCAAGATGCAAAGTCTAGAGAAAAAAATAAAAAGGAAATTTACAGAGCAACTATTGTATTTGTACGAAACAAAAAGCATAAGCGTAAGGACAGTAAGCAAAGGATAATTGAAGATATTATGATGATAAAATGATTGTTTTTTTTTTACCTACTCTTTCAGCATTCTTTGGTTCCGAGTCCAAATAATTTATAAATTATATACTTACCTTTCAGTTGTAGACTGTAGAAATTTTGCACAGAAGCCATAAAAGCTCGACACCACACATAGAAATGAACACACCATTGAATTATGGAAAAAAATTATTTGGGATTAAGGCTGTCTGATTAGAAACGCGTAAATTGGTTGGTTAAATATACAAAACTGAATAAAAATGCTTTGGACTTAGCTATATCGCTAACTAATCAACCAAAAACTGGCTCTTAGCGAAGCGGCTACTCCTTGCAAATTTCAATTTTCTTATTGAAAAAAAACTAATGAAAAAAAAAAATTAATAAAAAGTACTAACACTTACCTCCGTCGCATATAATACATCTAATATTTTCTGAATAAGGGGGTTGTTGTCCTCGCACTCTTGGCACATCACTTCGATGTCGCGCAATTTTCCAAAGTAAAAGTCCCGTTCTTTTTCAAGACCTTCTACAGTAACCTACAAAAAAGTAAAAATGCAATGTCAATATTTTTTCAAATTCATCCAGTCTAGCAACTACAACTTGATAACTTGTTACCTTATACTCTGAAACTTGATTGTTCAAATCTTCTATTTTTCCAGAAAGGTCACCAGCATTTCGATTGGGAGCTGGTCTCACTGGGGTCGCTGTCCTTATCGGAGCCGCTTTAGGCACTAAACATGAGATTTTTTTCAATATTTTCGGAATATAATTTTCAGGAACTTATGAGTTATTATTACTCATACATTCCTGGAAATTTTTCAAAGCTACATTTAGATACTACTTTCTAGTGTGCTTGCATAAGCGGTGAAATGAATAATTGTGCAATGAAAAAACATAACCACAAAAAAGGCAAAGGTATGAAAAAAATGTAAAAACATGAAATGACAAATATTATTAAATATTTACAATATTATAAATATACTATAATTCAATCGCTTATACCATTACACGTCTTAACTATCTTCAGTTGTGGCTTAAAGCCAATGGAATGCACAGAAAAATGATTTAAAATAAAAACTACTAGAAACATAGAAAAGTGACTTAAAACAAACCACAAGTGAAGTTTACATGGAAGTAGGTAAACTACACCACAAGGTTGTGGTGTAGTTTATCTCCTTACATTTTACTAAGTACATTTTCGTTATATACAGTGTGATATTTACTTTCTAGTTTTTTTTTGGTTTTCATATTAAAACTCTTCTTTGACACACTAATAAACAAGATTAGAAATTATCAAAACGAAATTATGTTGTAAAGTTTCAATTATTATTAAAAATAGCAATTGCAAAAATATTAAATTTTGTATGTATTAGGAAAACAGTAGTTATCTAGAAAAAGATTTCCTCTAGGTTCTTTCCTCTAGTTTCTAGAACAAGATTCTTGATTTAACATTGACTTTTTTGATTCTTCTTTTGCCTTTGAGAATTTATTATTCACTAATATTTCTGATCCACATTTGCAACATCAAACTTTTCTAGCTTTGAAAATATGTGCATGAATTTAACAATTAAAATACTTGTAATGACTCAATTTGCAAAATGATTTCTTAGGTTTCAAGTTTCATTGAATATCTAGGCATATTATCTCCCACATGTGTAAATTATAAGGGAAAACATCAATTAGGTATTGTTCGTCGATTTTTAACTGACACTTTCCGTATGAGGAGCGAGGGGGTATTTCATATGGGAAAAACAGGTGTGACGTCAGGTAACCATTGGCGTCTAATGTAGGGAGCCACCAGCTCACATTCCGTCCGAGTATCAGTTAAAAATCGACGAACAATATATGTATATTTTTTTTTAAATTCTGATAAATGGATTGCAGATGATTTCTTCAACGTCTTGATATTTCCTAATCACCATCGAATATTTTAGACTTAATTCGTAAACAAGAAGTGATTATACTCATAAAAACGACTATCTACATATTTATTTTATGCCTTAGTCTTAATTTAAAGGAAATTTGGACAGTTTGACAGTTATCCACTAATAAAGACTGTACAGCAGTTTGCATTTCTATAGCAATAGAACGTGAAAGCGCATTTTTATTATTATATTTCAGCTTTTTAAAATTTCAGAGACAATTATGGACTCCGAAAACAGTCCACAGAAATCCTCGAATATTTTTTGGGTTTGCAAAGAATTTCAAAAGTCTGTATTGTTGCACAGAGTATGTAAAATTCACTAAATCCTTATCAAATTACTAATAATTTGATACTCGTATTGTTCAACACTTTGCGCCATTTCACTGTCCAGTATGTTTTCAAAAGGTTGACTAAAGATGCATTTACATTCTACACAAAAACCTAGCCCATCTTCTTACAGAGTTTCTTGTTATGACCCCTTAGATGCTGGTGTCACTAAATCCCCACGCGTTCGTATCTCATAAAGTGTAGGGAGATTAAGCCTCTGTAGTCTTTGTTGATATGGAAGGTCTCAAACAGCTGGCGGAACTTTTGTTACTCTGGGTTGGACTTTTACAAGTACTTCAAAAACTTGACATAATAAGGACTTCATATGCTTTGGGCATACTCCAGCCTGAGTCTTATACAGGGTGAGTTATTAAGCGCGCAGTGGTCCTTATCTCCCATACTAAAGAAGATCGAACAGAAAACTAAATACAAAACTTGTAAATAAACATGAGTATTACATTCCTAAATTTTTTTCCAGTATACATGGTGGCCCAATAAGTAGTGGTGACACAAATTTATGTTTTTTTAAACGATTCTCCCTGTATATTATAACATTTCTGAATTCCGCGGAAAATTCTAGACATATTTCATGTACAGGGTCTCTCCTCCCCATTTATCGACCCCCCTCCCCACTACAGGGGTTATGTGAAGAGATATCAAAAAATTGTAAATACAAAAGTTTTGGGGTTTCACCTGAAATATAACCGGAGATTATAAATTTAAGCGGAATTTTCAATCATAGATTAAATTCAAAGTTGGTGTCAAATGATAGTTTATGAAAAACTAAGATAGGAATGAAAAATTGGTTTTCCTCTAAAATTAACCGTTTAGGTTTTACAGTTTGTCAAAGATGCAAAAAATTCAATTTTAAACTGTCAATATCTCCGAAACAATTGAAGATAGGTATATGACATATTACATGAAATATGTCTAGAATTTTCTGCAGAATCTAGAAATGTCATAATATATAGGGCTTGTCATTTTAAAAAACATAACCTTGTGTCACCACTACTTATTGGGCCACCCTGTATACTGGAAAATAATTTGCGAATGTAGTACTCATGTTTATTTACAATGTGTCTTGCTTAAGCACTCACCACCCTTCTAATATTTCTATTATCCAATCGATTCAATTCATTTGTTTTTTTGTGTCCCATATCTACTCGAATTTGACACTTATTTGACTCATAATTTTATTTCTACGGCTGTACTGGTGTACAGGGTGTCCTCATTTATAAGCTCAAATTTCAATAAGTACTATTAGGAATTTTTTTAGAAAAAATCTAATAGCAGATTCTTGTTTAGAATGGTCTAATACCCAAATGTACTAATTTTTGTTCCAATTTGATACAGGGTGATCACAACAAATTTTCCTAATTTAATGAATCAAACCGCAAAAATGTTATATTTTGAGACAAGCTTACTATAAATTTTGGTAGAGAATGTTGTTAAACTATGTTATATCAAGTTTTGTTGTTCTCAAGGCCTCAAAATATGACATTTTTCCGGTTTGTTTCATTAAATTTTAAAAATTTGTTGTGATCACCCTGTAACAAATTGAAACAAAAATTAGTACATTTGGGTTTTAGACCATTCTAAACAAGAATCTGCTATCAGATTTTTTCTAAAAAAATTCCTAATAGTACTTATTGAAATTTGATTGGGGCATTTTCCGTCTCGGATTGTAATAATATACTATTAACCAATACACATATTGAGGTACTTGGAATATTTCAATAATAAAAACTGTATCATATTTTTTGATACCGAGATTCATGGCGAAAAACAAGTAATTTCCTTTTTTTTTGTTGCTTTTCTTCCAAATTTCGCAGACGGCTCTAAAACATCGTTCTAATCACTTTTTTCAAATAACTTTTTCTGAAATTTTGCCATCTTACCTCACTTTTCGCGGTTCCATATCTAAATTTTCGAATTTGCCGCCACAACAGTGATCACGTGATCAATGTCAAAATGTACTTTTAGGTTATCGGACATGCAGGATCGATCGCACATAAGAAAAAACTCGATGTCTCACAAATAAAAAAAAATCCCATATGTAGCGAACATTATGGGGGGACACTGTATAATATACAGGGTGTTCCATTTAAAAAAGTTTAATGTAGGCTTATATATCAGAAAATTGATAGTGTTTTGTTTTATGTGTAGCTTGGAAAAAAACTTGGCTACTAACCCTACATTTTGTTTTTTTCTTTACCTTGATATCTTTAAAAACAAAAAAGTTACAGGTGATCAAAATGATATCAAAGATAAAAAAAACACCTGGTACAAACGCTGTGTTTTGAGAAATTGTACTGGTTGGTTGCCGCTAGAGTAGTATTCTAATTGCTTGTGTAAGTGTAGATCACCAAGTGAGAGTGCACATCAATTATTGATTTTTTTCTGTGACTGGTGTGATGATAATATAATGTGACCGAAATTTGTCTATAATAGAAACGGGTGATTTCAATTTTGATTGGAGCACCCAAACTAACAACACTAAGGTGTTGGAGAGTGTTTTGATTGATATTGGTTGCCTGAATAATATCAGGGAGATAACATATCCTATTAGCATTATACGAATATATTTAAAGTTTAAGTATTAGAAACTCCTAGGATAACAGATCACAATACAATAATGTTATGTCTCGACAATAGAAAAGAGAATAGTTGTGGTAATGAAGAAGTCAATGAAGTTACGGGAAATAGACTGGAAATATACAGGGTGGGGCACGAAAAACTTCCCACCCAGGTTTTCTCAGGTGTTAGGTGATTAATTAAAAATCGCTCGGACAAGTCAATTTTTGTTTTTTGGGGGACATCTTTTATTGGTATTTTCACCCCCTACTTGTCAACCCCTAAGTGGGGGTGACAGGTACCCCCAAAATGATACGCCATTTGATAGCTATTTTTATTAGGATTATATTCCCAAAGTTTTGAGTTGCTACTATTTACCCTGTCGAAATGACGGCTTGTCAAATTTGAGTGTTTTTTATCTCATAATAACAAAAAAACAGATTTTTCAAGTGAATAAACATGCACCATTTTAAGCTGAACTGTTGAATGACAATACTTAAATTAAATACCAATGGTATTTTATTACTATGGATAGAAACCTTCAAAAAATATGTTGTTTTGTTATTATGTTGTAAAAACTACACAGTTCAGATACTCGGAAAAAAAGCATTTTTCCTAACTTTGACAAGCCACCATTTCAAAAGGGTAAATAGTAGCAACTTAAAAGTTTGGGAATAAAAATATCTATCAAATAACGTATCACTCGACCCACTTTTCCTATTGAAATTTTGGGGGTATCTGTCACCCCCGCTTAGGTGTTGACAGGTGTTGATGAGAAAAATGAGCCCCCCAAAAAACAAAAATTGATGTGTCCGAGCGATTTTTGATTAAACACCTAACACCTCAGAAAACTTGGGTAGGAAGTTTTTCGTGCCCCACCCTGTAGAATAATGGACATAGATACCA